GAAACATTTCTGAACTGCCCCGTTCCCCATAAGGTGTTCCCTGACAAACTCTCCCAGCCAGGAAACACAACTTTCTACATACTCAATATACCTAACACTTCAATGACCGGAAAACGAATTTGCCAAACTGGAATTCTGTAGAAAACCAGTTTAACGAGGACTGGGGTTACACTTGGTTGTTGCCCTCTGTTTCCCAGCCAGCGCGGATTACGTTAGGGGAACAGATATTGAAAGTAATAGAACTGTTGGATGCTTCTAAACAGACAAATCCAGCGGGCTAATGTACAGGTACAATAAAGCTAACAGATCTAAGACATAACTATAGTGCGAGCACATGCAGGTCTTTAAAACTCGATCAAAAGTTTTGGGCCCTTGCGCAAATGAAAGACAACATAGCAAAAATGAGCGTTTACATGTACATAACCGGACTTGTCTGACAGTCAGGAGAGGGCTTCACTGGGAGTTGAGAATTGTTCAGAATTTTAGCCGCCAGCAGAGAAATGAAACGTTTTAATAACTGATCAGATGGATCTAAGATTTGCAAAGTTTACCGATATTTAAGAAATGGACTGAAATGGTAACCGAAAGCTGAGGAATCACCAAAAACTTAAGCGTGACTGAGATAACATTCCAGCAACCCCTTGAATACCCTCTTGTATTTACACTAAGACCCCCTCTCACCACCACCCCTTTTAGAATGGGGTAAAAATGATGTAGCATCTCTGTGGGTCTTGTACAGCACGGCCATTAATCGACACGAGAGAAATAAATGATATAAAGTTAGGAACCATGAACTCACCACTATTGTGAAGATAAACAAAATCTTTTCCATGTGCAACTCGTCAGTCTGATGTACTAGGCGCCCTGCTGGCACAACTAAACCAATCTGCAAAGAGATTAGAACACCTTTTAAGCAATGACAAAAACAAGCAAATAAAATTCTACGTTTTAAGAGCAACATACATGTAAGAGCTTTCTTTAGCAAAATCTCTATTTACAAATGAACTGATAGCGTCAATGAACGATCCCCAAGAACTTTCTTTACGGCAATGCTCACAAAGTTACTCGTTTGTTATCAAAAGGTTCAGTTACCTGAGGTACTCTTGAAAAAGTGAACTTGTAAAAGACCCATTTGTAATGTTTTCGTCATAGATGGCCTCCTAAAGTTCGTTTACTTCCTGCAAAAAGGCAAAAAAAATAAAAGAATTGTATTAAGTTTTTAATTTTTTAAAAAACTTTAAAATAGTGTATTCTAATTGGATTTCGAGAGCACAGAGCGGTTTCCAGTCGAGTGTTGAAAGTAATCAGGGAATTACTTTGGTCTTTGTTTTGGTTTCGGTTTTGGTTTTACTATAGTTTGAGATTGGTAGAGTAGTCCAATTGGCTAGCAAATGGTTTGGTTTTGGTTTTGAGACACTCAATTGAAAATCGCTTGAAGACGTTAAAGCGAAACATCAAGCTGCTCCAGCATACTTCAGATTTCATATGTATTAAAAGAAACTGTTAAAAAGTTATTTTAAAAAGTTATTAAACTTATTATTATTATTAATAAGTTTTTCAATTGTGTTGTGAAATGAGGGATTATAACGTCAGATCATCAGAAGATTTTTAAAAATGTAAGAAATTAGATGATCACGTACAAACTTGGGAACCGGTTGAGAACACATTGAGACCGATTTGATATCACAAATCAGGTAAAACCAACTGATAAATTTATAGGGAAATTCATAGTAAATGTTACCATTCCTTTGAAAATGTTTCGTCAAATAATACCTCCCTCACTCACTCATCCTCTTCGCATCTGTGGGTGGAGCATAAGGCTACAAATAATACCTAGTTGTTATATTGTATTCGTATCATTGTAATTCCCAAACGCGCACACTTCGGTATCGATTCGGTAGACAACATTCTTGTTATTGACAAACTTTCCTAACATACTTTGAACAATGCCTTCCGAAAGAAAAAGCTAAGCTACCTCTACAGAATATAACTTACAATACCTTATTGTACAGTTCGTACCTTGAGGAAAACTCAAGCGATTTGCTTAGAATACACACAGCGACATCTTTGGCTTGACAAGAGGCACGTGATTTGAAAGTTTGTATGTCGTGGTACAGTTCTTGTCGTAGGTATTTATGTTTCGTCACAGCTCCAAACGCGAGGACAATCCTAAATTGAAGTTTGATATCTTTTCGTGGCAGCAAACGAAGCCAAAGGTGGATTTTTTTTTTTACGTAAATTGAAATTTTGAACGCAAAACGTTCAAACGACGAAAGCGTCGAGCGAGTATAATTTGCATTTTAAATTTTACATTTTTGCGAGCACGCTTTGAATATACATTTGATTGGTTTGTCCTCGCATTTTAATTATGTCTGGGGTATTAAAACTCCTTCATATGAGAATATTAGGCTCAGTCGACACTACGCCGGAGAAATTTGAAAAAGCAGCTCTAATTATTTCTACGGTTAGGCCTAACGTCCACACTAATCCGCTACGAAAACGGAGCTTTTCGAAAACGCTCTTCAAATCGGAGGAATTCGAAAACGCCTGCTTTACGTTTTAGTGTGGGCGGAAAACATTTTGAAAACGGAGCTTTTCGACGGCGATTTAGTCACTATAACCATGCGATTTCCATGCCGGAGTTTTCCTCGAAAACAAATCCAAAATAAGCGGTGATTGTTGCGTTTTCAAATTTCTCCGGTGTAGTGTGGACGACGAACATATGGAGCGTTTTCAGAGTGAAATCTCAGATTTCAAATTTCTCCGGTGCCGGCGTAGTTCGGACGAGACCTTGGCCGAACAAAGTGAGTGCGATTGTTCAAGAACAGTTCAACAGTCCTAAAAGTTGCTNATAAGAGGAGGAGGTCAATAGCTAAGGGTGTTTGTCTCTCCCGTACTATTTCTGTGAGACAACCTAAGTGAGCTATATTCCGAATAGATTTACCTAGACTATTTGGGTTTCTGTAACGGTTGTCTACAGAATGTTTGAACTGAATATGGGTGAAAAATTTTTTTTTAAGATAATGGGCGGTTTTCATTCGACTAAAAATTTCCGAACTTTGAAACGGGGTCAGGGATAAAAAAAAACTTCCTGGCCGATGTCCGGAAAATTTGGAAAATGTTGAAAATCCGAAATGCGAGTCATTTAACCAGTAAGAAATTTTCGAAAATTTGGATATGCCTCGCGAGGTTGTCCTCTCAGTGTCCAGATACTCAGAACGCCGTTACAATTTTCTACTGGAAATATCCGAAAATTCAAACCGGAACTTTTGGTCAAATGCAAATCGCCAAGTTTTCCTAAAATCTTCGAAATCAATGAGCATGTTTATCCAATTTATCCGACTGTTTTGATACAGTTTGGGCTTCTAACATTTAAGTTTTTCAATGTTTTAAAAAGTCATTTACGGACGTTCGGCAAATAACTGGTGTTGAATTCTCTTTTTTACCATATGAACTGCATAAATTCTCCCGCGCTCATTGGCTAATTTTCAGTGTCAATTTTTTTCATTGTTAATTTTCATTGACAATTTCATTGTCAAAGTAGCTGTGGATCCACTCGGCCATCGCCTCGTGGATCCACAACTACTTTGACAATGTTGTGACGAAATATTCATGATCAATAACAGGACAGACACATGAAAAACTGACGCCAATTTGTTACTTAGAATAGGTCTGTAGGGATAAAGAACCTATTACGTTACATCAACCATTGATAAGATGTTCACTGGGTATCTTTCTTTCTACAGCTAGTGTTTTCTGATACATAGTGCAGCTGAAACTGGCTGTTTTGAACTGTCAGGGGAAAAGAGAAATAGTTCGAAAGAGTGAAGGGTCAAAATAACCACCGGGTCCCTTTCCCTTATATCTGTATATCTGCCCCCTGAATATAAAATTTACCCCTGGATATCTCCGTCCGTGACGTAAGTTAAGTCAATAGGCCATATTCATTTTCTCGGTATTGGACTGGCACTAGCTTGCAACTGAGGCTAAAGCGTCTTTTCAAATGCAAATGTATTTATCTCTTTTTAAAAAAGCCTGTTCGGAAGAGGCCCCGGGCTGCGCCCCCAAAGGAATCGAGATCGAGCTTATTAAGTCAGGGTGCGCTCATCATCTTCAGTGACTGTTATAGATCAGTTTTATAACAAAAGCCCAGTTCTTCGGTGCGCCAAGCGCGACCAATCAGAAGCCCGAATACAAATGACGTTCTGAGCCGTTAAAACCTTCCAAAATGCATTATTCACGGCCCAGTTATTCAAGTTTAGTCGCTTGTGTTGTGAAGTTTATACCCAAGCATACATCTCACACTAAATCAGCAAATATTTCATCAGTTTTCTTTGAATACTTTTCAGAACTATAATTGTACGGCAATTGTTTGGTTCCTCAGCTTCCTCTCTCACTCCGCGCTTTGTAGCCTCGCCCCGGCCCGCCGTCCATCCAGACCCCNACCTTTTTCAAACTATTCTTTTTATTCGCGCTTCAGGCGTTTATTCACAAGACGATAAATACTCATGAACGATTCTATGCGGATTTGGAGGCGGCAAATTATCAACTAACCAGTTCAAATTCTAGAAGACAGTATGATTCCAAGCTCGTGAACGGAATGTGTTCAAGATGCACTTAATGAAATATGGAGGTGAACCACAACGACAAGACATACAAACTGCAGGCGAGGTAAATTTACAATTGATTATAGATGGCTTATATACAAGGCTATAAATAAGCTAAATCTGTTGGTATTAAATCTGCAACAAAAAATTACGAACCCTCGGTAAATTTGAGGTCGACTCCAAAAACTAGACAGGGGTGTAAACAGGTTGTTACGAGGAATTTAATTTACAATGATTTACGTCGCAAGAAAATTTACGAATTACAGGGATCAATAACGCCTGTAGCTGTCTTTCAACCTTTGCATCCTTTCAGCTTTTAGTGAGATCAACCACACGAAGTAATCGATCCATAATTCATGTCCTAATAAAGTAGAAAATTCTCCAAACTCGCAGAAAAGAATTGTGTACAGACCTGTAAGGAGAATGTGCGGCCTGATATCAGGGCTGAAAGTTCCAGAGTACCTCGAGTAATAAAAGATTGTGATGGTGAAAATCCTTTGAGATAATAAATCAAATTTACAGTACTATTACAGAAACACGGTCTAACAAAACCCATTAGTTTTTGATCTTTTTAAACCACTTGGAATCTCTGACTTTTCTTTTTGTTGTCGTATTTGCAAAGCTGCCGCTACAATACTGAGTCACGTGAACAACTAGCCTGTTCGTTAAACAACCCGGCAATTAACTGTCGGCACTCTCGTGGACGCTCGTAATGTCTCGTGCCGCTTTCTGATTGGTTGTTAACCAATCGGAATCTCTCGACTGTGACGAAGATTGAGCAAAAACGGAAACTTGCTCTCTTGTCGAGTTTTTTTTTTTGGTTTTATTTTGTTTTGTTTTGTTTTTAATCATTAAATTACTTTATCTCTGAAGCGCAACTACTATTTGCAAAACTGCCAGAGATTTTCTCAGCTATGCATCAATAAATTTATCTTGGCAGCGAGCTGAGAACTGTGACAAAACTTGGAGTTACCCAAATTTGATCTAAACGACGTGAATAACTTGTCTTCAGATGCAATAACAAATATTATTACAAAAAGCCCCCCGAATCCCTGAGATCGGGCTTGGTCAAAGGAATTCCCGCAAAAAATATTCATGTCAATCAATTAGCGTACGATCGCGAACTTCAAGTAGGCGAAAGTTGGATTCAAATTGTTCCAGTCACGACTCAGACTGTGTTTCCGATTTCAACATCGACTACGTTCTCATCGGCCGCTATGTCTTCGTGCGTGCTCTCGTCGTCCGAACACAAATCGATCGTGGTAACTGGGCGCATCACCGCATCGCTGTTGCCATGGTCACGAGTAGTTTCCGCTGTCTCCTGTTCTTGCTGTTGCGCGGACTCAGTCACTTCTACGTCCGCAATAGAGACAGGGGGAGTGGGTGAGGTGGGCGTGGTCCCATCCACGTCGATGTTCTCCGATTCGGGTGACGCCGCAGGGGGTGTTCCTACAGCCGAGTTAGTAGACGAGCCTCCTCCTCCACTCCCACCGACACACAGTCGACAATTGTAAGAATCCATGGCTTCCGCGCGCTCTGGGCTCAGACCGACACATGCAAGGTGGTACCATTTCTCACAGATGTCACACTGTACCCACCCGACTTCGTCTCCCTGCGGTCTTGAGCACGACGCGGCTGCACATATTTCATCGTCATCATCATCATCGTCTTCGTCCTCTTCAACATTAACGATTTCTTCCTGTTTCACTTTAGTAACTTTATCTTTGTCCTTTCGGCGCCGTTTCTTGGGTATTTCATTTGCCGCTGCAGCAGAATTGGCGCTGCTCGCGTTCGACGCTCTTCTCACTGGCTTTTCTTTGTCTTCGTTGTCTTTTTTCTTTCGCTTTCTTTTGACTTTTTCTTTGTCTACCTTTGCCTCAAAAAGCTGCAAAAAAGAAATAAAATCAACATTTTAATTAAGTACAATGTACCTACAAAACATGTAGCCTGATAGATCCCAGTTGGCAAGTTAAGTCCTCCACGCTACAGTTGCTACGAAACAGTTGCCAGGTAACAAGGCTGTCAGGTAACATAACACGTCCTTGTCACAGCAGGCTGTAACAACTGACTGTGTTGGCGAGTTCAGATGCGCTTTTCTCATGGATCGATAAGAAACTAAAACCTCCGTATTCCACTTCAGTGCGTACGAACAATAGTACCAGAGCGAGGTTGGGGTCGACATTTTCATACATTTGCTTTATTTTTGTCAACCCTGAGCTCGACTCGGCGCCATTGTTTGTTGGAACGCGGGAAAGGTCAATTTTCAAAAAGATACGAAACTTGAGTGCCTTTAAGTCCTGCACTAGACTTAAGCAAACGACGTTTTCAGAAAGTACCTGTGTTTCTTGCTCTTCCTGGGTTTTCTGACTGAGCAGCACCTTCCAAAGCTGTTCGGTTTCGTCTAGCGACACCTCCAACAAATCTCCCTCCATCATAAGCTGTTCGGCTTGCCGTCGTTTTTCTTCGGATAAAGTCGGTCTTACTTCGGCCGTTGCACTGTTGCCAGAATCGTCCGTGACCGACACATCGCCCGAAGCAGATTTCTCCGAATCCTCCTCCTCGGGTCCAACTTGCGCCAGCCGAAGCAGGGCAGCTGATGCGGACAAGTTTTCTGCGCTCACTCCATGCGGCCACGAAGCTGAAGTTCTACTAAGAAACGTGAGAAGCGCCACAACATCTTCATCGGCAAGAAACTGCCTAGAGCGATCTTGCCAGTTCATTGCTCTTTCAGTAAGGAACTGAAGGGCCTCACCCTCGGGAAGGCGGACAGGAAGCTTCTGTAGCGATACCAGCAGAGACAGGATTGTTTCTAGACGCGGTCTCCTCGATCTTGAGCACAACGGGCACAGATATTTAAGCTCCTTAGCCGCTTCCAGCGCGGCGGAGCCCTTGCCCATCGATTTACCACCCTGGGTGCGAGGTAGAGGGACACAGGAACCATGATACCACTCTTTACAGAGCTCACACTGCAGCATAAACCCGTCCGGTCCCCGCCGACATATGCAGTACTGTCCGTCTAGGCTTTCGCCAAGCTGACGTTTCCTGTCTTCTTCCTTTTGACGTGTAATATTGACTTGGCGTAATTGCCGCATAGTTTGGATTTCTTTGCTTTCTGCTTCACGAAATTCAGCGATCTGCAGTGCAGGATCTCTGCCAATGTATTCATCCAACGCCACTAGTTCTATTATAACTTCTCGTTCCTTTTCGATTTTTTCTTTTTCTGCTTTTTCGCGCTTTTTGCTTCCACGAGGCTTTGGACATGCTTTGTACATTCCGACGTCCTTGCGAGGGGATAAGATCTGAAAACACAAAAGCCACACACAAAAAAAACAACCAAGTTAGACGGTTGAAGAATATTTGACTGCGAGGACGCGCTACAGGAAATTTTATTAATAGGGAGATGAGAGGTATTCTCTTGTAAAAATTTTGAAAATGTTCTTTCGGAGTTTGTGAATTCTAAAACTCGTCCAGACACATATCGATACCAGTTCCAAGCCATTTGAAATCATTTTTCGACATCGCATAAAATGAAAATACACTCACCACGTTGCAAATAGTGGAGGACTTTCCTTAATCTATCTAAGCACTAGTCCGCTCACTGCTTTTTTCCGGTTAAAATACTGATACTACTAAACTTGAACACCCACTCAAATCTAGTAGCTCCTTACTTGCTTTGAAGCAACTATGGTTGCAGAACGAGTTCACCAATAGCTTGTTTACAAACACTTACCTCCAAGAGCGTAGCTGAAGAATTCTTCTTGAGAAATGTCCTTGCCGCACGGTCCCTCCAAGCGCGCGCTGCAGCCACTTGGGACTCCATTTGAGGGAGCTGTTCTAGGCGCACGGGAATGGGCCTTCCTCGCATGACCAGGGCCTCCAGCACATCAAGATACGGATAGTAATCATCATTCTGGGGCCAGATCAGAAATGGTAAGCGTGAGCCAAAAATGTTCGTTACAACGCAGTTACACTGTACATAATCCTTTTGGTTTTGAAGTGTGTACAGAGGTTGTTGTAGCATAGTCTGCGTACCAAGTGTTCCCGGTACGCTTGCAACGCGGGTTAAGTATTGTGGAGCCCCCCACCCTCCCCCCTCCCAACCCCCTCTCTCCCACGGCGGGGAACTCCCATGTAAAACGGTTGGGGATGCTTCTCGAAACATTTGCATTAAACCCCTGAAGGAGAACAAACTGGGCTTGACTCGAGCTTTATTTGACACCTAAAAGATACAACTTAAAACGGAAACAAAAGCGTTTCTTAATTATTTCTTCGAGTGCACCATAAAAGATACCTTCTCAGCTAAAATAAAGGCGTTTCGTCCTGAACACCCTAAGTGAGACTAACATCTTTGCTTTACACCCATAAGTGAGACGACGAGCACCCCCGACCTTTACCCGTGGGATCCCCCTTCCCCTGGGGCTGTAGTCAGAGTCGTCTTACCTGAACTTGATCGACCTTCTCAGACCATTCTCGAGCTTTGCGGAGCGCTTCTTTGAGCGCACTCACATTTGGAAGGTATAAAGGAACACGGGATGCCTCTTTTACTATTGCTTCCACTGTGGCCATTACGTGACGGGGTCTGTTTAAAAAGAGAAAAAAATTCACAAGATCGCGTCAAAGATAATCCAAACATAACGAGCTTTAAAAATACAACTATAATGGACAAATCCCTCTATGAGACGTGTCTGCAGGAAGTTATGGTAGTTGTATTCATCATCTTGGACTGGCTATTTGTGTTGATTAATACAACTACCATGATTCCTGGCTTTGTGTGACAACTTCAAAGTTCATGGCTGTCACGCAGTATCGCTACCCAAAGCGTTATGGCGTGACAACCCAACATAACGCTTTCACAACAAAGGGTAAACACCTGTAATACAACAAGGAACGGGGCAGTTAGCAGTATCTTCTTTCAGAATCCTTTACAGATATTTTCTGGAGGGTTCATCGCCAAGAAGACTTTCGCGAGGAAACCCCAGAAAAAAGATTATCTTTCTAAAGCTAGGAGAGCATGTCTGCGACGCTGTACTAAGAATAAAGGAAAACAAAAAAACAACAGTAATCCTGTTAAGTGTTTAAACAGAGATAACTAGATTCCGGTTCTT